TCATTTTCATTATACCAGGGAGGACAACTGATGAGATCAGTCACAACACCTTATCCCAAGTGATACAATAAGAAACACAATAGCATCAAGCACCTCTTAAAAAATGACATTTTGGGTCGGGGATTTAGCTCAGTGGTTGTGGTGCCTGCCTCGCAAGCGCAATGTCCAGAGTTCGATCCCTGGTACCAAAGGAAAAAAAAAATGACAATTTGTGGTAGTTATTAATCTGTCACCTTTAACTGTGTGAATTAAATCAAAATCAAGGGCCAACCCAACATAGGTTTATAGTGAATAAACTCTTCAATATAGCAACTTTACCCTTCGGGATGGGGAATTAGAAGGAGTTGGGGACTGAGGGATAGCTAAGTGGAAGGATAGGGGAAGGTTAGCAGTGAGGCCAGAGGGCAGAGTCAAGAGAAGGAAAGAGAAGAAAGATGAAGAAATACGAATTAGGGGCAGAACCAGGAGCACAAAGGGAGATGAACAATGTGAGACAGCAAGGGAGCGAGGCAGAGAGAGAGAGAAAGGAAAAAGAAAAATAAAAATTTTAAAAGAGTGGCAAAGAAGAAAAAAAAGTAAAGAGCAAAAAAAATAGTGGTAATTTTGAAAAAACAAATAAAAGATAAAAATGAAGGGCCTCCTTCAGGGTATGTCTCTTCTGTCACAATAGACACCGTGGGCAGCAGTGTATAGTTATAAGTCAGTGAGTCTCAGTAAGCCAGTCACAGACCCGTGAGATTCAGGCAGATTTCTGGCTGCAAGTCTCAGGTTGAGCTCCCTGTCCTTCTGCAGGGTTGAACTCTGCAAGGTTCTACTGCAGGTTCCAGCTGCCCTTCCCCTGAAGATAGTCCAGGTTCCAATGGCAGGTGATGATCCCTCCAACTTACCAAGAACAGTGGTCTGGCGTGCCTTTATTGCAGAGATTCTCTTCACTTTTCCAATGGGCGTCAGTTTTCATCAGGGAGCCTGAGAGAAGCACTCTGTTGTTCACTTCTGCAGCTCAGGACAGTGGCCTTTATGCTTCCCTCTGCCTCTGTAGTGTGGATCCAAGTAGCTGTACAGCCAGGAGGCGAGGGTGGGGGGGGCTGTTGTTGCATGGGCCGGTGTGGCCCAGCTAGAGGCTGGTGGGGCCCCAGTGCCTGGGAGTCCTCACTGGCTTGGTCTCTGGCTCCGTCTCCTGGTTGAAAGTCATTTGTTTAGTTCTTTATCAAGATTGTCAAACTGTTCCAAAGTGTTGCCATTTTACAGTCCCATCAATCATTATTAGGCCATTTATTTTTTTTATCCTCACCAGTGTTTTTTTAAGCCATTATAAGAGAATGTATGGTGATGTCTCATCATGGTTTTAATATTTTTCTAGTAATGAGATTTAACTTCTTTTCATGTTTGTTACCCTTGATTTTCTTTAGTGAAATGTCTCTTTATGTCCTTTGCTCATTTTCTAAAATTGGAGGGCATATTCTTTTTATTGTTGAGTTTTGAGAGTTCTTAATTTATTAGAGAGGTAGGTCCTTTGCCATTTGAAAAATTTTGTCTCAATTTGTAACATGTCTTAATCCTCCGAAGATACCCAGTTTGTGCTTTTAGTGTCATGTCTAAAAACTGTTTGCTAAGCCTTAGCAAAATATGTATCATTTATGGAGGAAAACTGAGAAGCTGATGAAAGAAATGAAGTTCTAAATTAATAATGATACTGCATCGTTACGGATATGATGGCTTAGTATTGACAGATGTCAGTTTTTCCCAACTTAATCTCTAGATTCATATCAATCCTAATGAAAATTTCAATGAACTATTTTGTGGATATTGACATTCTAAAGCTAATATGAAAAAGCAAAAAGAAAGAATAGCCAGCACAATATTTGAGGAGAGCAAATGCATAGAACTAAGATTATTCAACTTTAAGAATGAGTCATGGGGGCTGGGGATTTAGCTCAGTGGTTCCAGTGCCTGCCGCACAAGCACAAGGTCCTGAGTTCGATCCCCAGTACCAAAAAAAATGAATTCTGTACTGCTGCTGTTAAGCATTTGGAAAAATAAATAAGTTAGTAGAACAGAATGGAGACTGGATTTAAACTGACACACACATAGTCCTCTGGCCTTTGACAAAGGAACAAAGACCATTCAATAGAGAAGCAAGATTATTGTTACTGAATGCTGCTGGAACACCGTTGATGAACAGAAGTTTCTATGGTGGGGGCGGAGGGGGGCACCAGGGATCAAACTTGGGACTGTGTGCTTGCCAGACAGGCGCTGTGCGCTGAGCCACATTGCTGGCCACAGAAGTTTTGAATTTTAATAACATCCAATTTATAATTTTTTTATTTTTGTAAAGTCTTTTCCCATCTCATATGTTAATTGCAATTTAAATCTATACTGTTTCACTTTTTTTTTTTCCTGTTTTTTGATAAAGGGTCTCACTATGTAGTCCAGGCTGGTCTTGAACTCACTGCTGGCCTCAAAGTCTTGCCTCAGCCTCCCAAGTGCTAGGGTTATAGATGTGCAGCACCATGCGTGGCTCCCGTGTTTCATTTATTTGATACTGTTTTTCCTCCCTTCTCCAGATATCATTGACCCTGCAATTCTGCGCCCAGGCCGGCTGGACAAAACACTCTTTGTGGGTTTGCCACCCCCAGCAGACCGTCTTGCCATTTTAAAAACTATCACAAAAGTAAGTGGCAAACTTTTGTGGATATTTCTCTCCTTACCTGCAGTTGCAACAAGTAGGAATTCAGGATGGCTGATTGCTATCTTTTCGGTAGCTATACGTATTTGCCAGCCTTCTGTCTCTCAAAGAGGAAGGTGAGCTGCTGTGATCATTGAAGACATTGCCCCTCCTCATGTTTTTTCCCGCAAAATAGGAGTAAACTAAGTGAGGGACATTTGAAGTTAAATTCTGAACTACTGCAGTTGAGATATCACTGTAGTGGCATTTTTTATTCCTCTAGATCAAATTTTAAGTCATTTAAAACTGTTGCTTGCCTTTGGAGTGTAAGTCACCAAGCACATTACCAGGTGTGTACTATTGCAAGCCTGGTACTATGGTGAGTGTTAGAAATCTGAAACTGATCTGATCATTGTCATTTCTGGCATCTCCTAGAGCTGAAGGGAAATTGGCTCCAAAGTCAGGGTTGGGTTTTAGATGAGGGATTCAGTGAAGACCCTGTTGGGTGCAGAGGGCTGGTGCTCAGTGAAGAGCAGGTTACTGCTTATTCTCAGCCAGCTGGGCTCAGTATAATGCTGTCTTCCCAGCCAGTTCACATCTGCACTCAGCATTGGTGCATATCAGCACTCAGTGCTGCCCCAAGTGCACACTGTGTTTAATCAGCACGGAAGACTGCTGTGATGGTTTTGTTCTTGGTAGTGGGAGTTGGCTTTTACTGTGACTATGACAAATTGTTCAGACTTCATGAGCATAAACTGTTTGCCTTCAGGCTTCCCGAGCTTGAAGTGTGCTTCTTCCCCTCACTTCTCAAAAGAAATTGTGGCTCTGCAAAGCCAGCCCAGGAGTTGGCTCCTTTCCTTGGGTCAGAAGCCAGGCCACTTTGCTGCCCATAGACCTTGACTGAGCCAGGAATAACCATGTCTCTCTTGTTTAGAATGGCACCAAACCTCCACTGGATGCAGATGTAAATTTAGAAGCAGTTGCTGGTGACCTTCGCTGTGATTGCTATTCGTAAGTATTTGAATCTCAAGCCAGTTCACCCTACAGGGCACAGTTCTCCATCTGCCCCAGATTGTCGGGAGGGTGACAAAGGGGTCCCACAAAGCTCCGGTGCAGAGACTGGCTGGGCTCTACTTCTTCTCCCATGGAATTCCAGGATACAGAGGCTCCTGTCGTGTGTTGCCCCCAGACACTCACACTTCCCTAACCACCTTTGTGTCCTTCGCAAATTGTCCTTGAGAATGTTTAAGCAGGTATTTCATGACTGGCTGCCACATTATCCTGCTGCTTCAGCATTGGACAGAGAGTAAACTGCAAGTGCCACATTTTCCAGGCCAGCTCCCATCTCACAGCCTGCAGTAACAGCAGGAAATGTGACATTTCTGCCACCAGATTTCATCTGTTTATGATTGTGGTAGTCATTGGGGTTTTTCCCTGAATATTTTAAAGTAAGCCTGTTTGTTAACATTCCCAGTTTTGGGAAATAAGGCAGTGGAAATAGTGTGAGTGAGCTGGTGAGGGTGGATGGAACCATCCTTCTCTCCCCTAGAGGGGGTACATCTCTCCCTAGTTGGGAATCTAACCTATACCCTTCAGATTGCCACCAGATGAAGTCCAAAAGGAGGTCTCGCCAAAGAGGAGCTGGGAACCTCAGGAGAGTACAGTGGCTCTTGACTCATTGACATAGGAAGAGAATTTCAGGACCTGTCAGTACAAGCCATAGGCAGTTTTATTGGGCAGATTTAGAAAATAAGTGAAAGTAGGCAGGGGACTTGAGCTTCAGTCACAGTTGTGATGGAAAGGCTAAGTCTGGCCCTTAATGAAAGAACAAGCTCAACTTTTACAGATTAGCTGAAGTTGGATGGTGTCCAGCTGATCATCATCTCAGTTACGGTTTTGCAGGATAGCTCCAGGAGACAGTTCGGTCTCACTAAGGTGGTTATTTCTGCTTATGGCACTCTTGGTTTTGTGGAGGCTTTGCGGGCATAGAAGGTGACTGTAGATTTACAGCAATGACAGGAGACTTTTAAGTCCCTGACTACCTCAGAAGAAAACACAAATTATGGATTTAATGAGCAAGTTAAGTGCCCAGGACTTTGTCCTCTGTCCTTATGATGGTCATTCTGTGTCAAATGATCCTACTACTTTGGGAGGGGAAGATTTAAGGGAAGTTTAGAGCTTTTGGTGCTCATGTATCACAAGATTTCCAGGGAGTTACAGACAAGATGGCAGAACTTAGCCTGGGCGTGTCTTGTGCATTTTCCCAGTAGGGTATCTGTGTATGCACCACTAGGGCTGAAGGTTAATGTTCATGATGCACATATGGCTTTTAATGCCACTGTCATCACCCTTTGAGAGACATGATGCTATTACAGTGTTCAGCTCCCTGTTTGTATCGTATAGATGTTAGATTTTCAGGCCGTGTCCACCCTGTACCCCTTGCGCTGGTCACACATGGCTTGCCTGGGCCACATCAAGTGGAAGGGTGCATAGATATATAATTAATGAATATAAATATAAAAATGTCTTTTTTAGAAACGTTTTTATTGCCAGGGATTTTGAGCAGTGGTTCCGCTGCCTGCCTCGCAAGTGCAAGGTCCCGAGTTCAAATGTTTTTATTATAACACAGTCATGTACAGCCCGTGGGCTGCAAGTTGAATAAGACTATATAGCATATTTTTCTTAAGTAGTATTATAGCCCTCTCAACCAATAGAAGCAGAAGATTTGGTTAGTGAAGCTCTGTGCATCATTATTTTATATGACGTATGGATTCATTATGTCATAAACATGTTCTGTGACTGGACATGATGATCTCATAGGACCATGCTGAGCCAGCGTGTTGTCACATGGAATAATCTCAGAAACATTACATTTCCACTCAGGCTCAGCTTGAACCCAATGCATGAAGCCCATTTTCTGGGCTTTTATTTTCCACTATTCAACTTGCAGCCACAGGTGACTTTCTAATGTAATATGTAATTATATATAAATGTGCTACTTGGCATTTTAGCTTTTATTTGTGAAAACATTGCAAGAAATAATGTGTAAGCTTCTACCCACTATATGTTTTATATTAACCTTAGTTGCTGTAGCTCTGGGGAAAGGAATGTTCATTTTTTTTATTGTACTGCTTCCTCTATAAATCCCTCGCATCTAAAGGTTAGAAGCATTTTAAGTGAAATCTAAAAGCTCAGGTGCTGGTGGTGCATGCATGTAATCCCCACTCTGGGAGGCTGAGGCATAGAGATCCTAAGTTCAAGTTCAGCCTGGGCAATTTAGACACTTAGCAAGACCATGTCTCAAAAAAAATTAAAAATGGTAGTAGATGTAACTCAGTGTGAGGGGCCAGGGTTTAATCCCCAGCACTGCAAAGAAAAAAAAAAGAATGTCTTAGTCCCTTTCCTCATTGCTGGGACACAGTATCAGACACTCACAACTTAAAGGAAGAAAAGTTTATTTTGGCTCACGGTTCAGAAGTTTGGGTCTATATGTATCAGCTCAAGCATAGCGGAGCCCAGGAAGAGAAAAGTCGCCCGTGTCATGGGAACTGAGAAGCTGGAGGTAGATGTGCCTTTCCAGGCTAGACCTGCCTCCCTGAGCAGGCCCCACCTCCTCACAGCAAGTCAGCCATAGCTCCCCAGGGTCCTCCTAAGTCCTGCCTGTGAGTGCCTGAGGCTCTTCAGATATGAACTATAATAAAAATAGAAAAGACAAAAAAAGAACTATTTCTTTGTGTGTATCCTAACCAGGTTTCCACACCTGTTGGTTGGTCTTTTTCTTGACTGTTTCACATGGACAGTAGAAAATTGCCATCTGGCTTCTTCCTGGCCTTTGCAGTTATCTAATAATAAATAAACAAGATCACTTCTTTTATTACAGGGGTGCAGACCTCTCTGCTTTGGTGCGAGAAGCTTCTCTGTGTGCCCTGAGACAGGAAATGGCGAGAGAAAAGTCTGGAAATGTAAAAGGTATAATTCTGTCCAGAATCTCTCAGCTTAATTATCAACCTGGATACTTAAAACTACTGTTGCCCTGGGAAATGATGTTTTTCTGGCATCCTTGTTCTGTGTTAAGGAAGATGCCATTTTCCCCACCCTTAGAAACTGCTCCGCAGTATGGTGTAAGCTCTCAATGATAGGAATAGCAAAGCTGTTCAGTGCTTCTCTCAGTGAACAGCATTGTGTCTCACTGACGTCTAGAAGTGATCAGATAGAGACAGTGAGTTCATGCAGCGTTTTCATGAGTTTCATGAGTTCTGCTTACCAGTTCTAAAAACCCTCTTTTTTTACTAAGGTGACACTTGCATGTCTATTAAAATACAATCTAAATTGGAGAGGTTAGAAATGCATGACACAAGAGAAGCCAATATTGGAAAAGCTGTGCATATACTGGGACTCTCCTTTCAAAGTACAGAATTGATGGGGTGTTTTTCAGTGTCTTCCCCAAGCACTCGCTCAGGTGGAGCGCTTGTGATGGGCCTGGGCCCAGGCTCCTGCACTGTAAAGTGAACTAAGCAAGAAAAGCCCAAAGCTGTGTTTCCGACTGTGTGATGACTCGGGGCCACAGCAACAGCTTTCCTCACACTTCCCGTTTGGCAGTGTCTGATTTTATCCCAGGGGTGCTGGTGGGGGAAACAGCCTCCCTGTGCTGCATTCCCGCTGCGTCAGGTGCGGGCGCCCCTCCCCTGCTGGGGCTCTGTGGTGGCTCTGCCCCGTCCCAGGACATAGTTGCTTGCAGGGTGCACAGTTCATTTCTTTGTGACGACCTCTGTGCTCCACACCTGTGCATTGCTGTGGACTTAGTCTGTTGGTTTTTCATTCAACAGATTTCCAAAGGAAATCCTCTTTCATATCTGTATCATTTTTCCTTTTTGGCTTTGGCTACCAAGAATCTTTTGTTTACGGTTACATCAGCATATGCTTAGCTTACATTTGTGCACACACGTATTCATTTTGACTTTTTTTTTTTTTTTGGTACTGGGGATCGAACTCAGGACCTTGTGCTTGCACAGCAGACAGCGAAACCACTGAGCTAATTCCCCGGCCCCTCGTATTCATTTTGATGTCCCATGTTTTTTGTTGGTTAATTTTATGATTCAATGATCTCAGCATCTTTTACTGTATATTAAATGAGTTCTTGAGTCGGGAAGGATATAAATAAGCAAAATTATAATTTTTGTGTGAAAAATTTAAAAATCAGGTATACTACCTGAGTGCTAAATCTGGTCATTCTCTTGATATGTGTAGCTATTAAAAATTAACAGCCCCCTGTGCGTGTATTGGTGCTGCCACTAATAATTGTGTTTGGATGATATCCTTGCTTTGTTGTAGCTTTCATTTCTAGCTACCTGGTCTTTACGCTATCTAACTAAAACCAAAATCAGTAATGCCATCCAAGTTCCATTTGATACATTCAACAACACACTTACATTTAGGTAAATATACTCTGGTAATGTCTGTGTAAAATTTACTATTTTAAGTTCTTGTCATGTAAGTTACCATATGAACATTCTTCTCCAAGCCATGGTTAAGTTAGTAATTTTATTTCTCTTACTAAAGAAAATTATAACCTCTAATATAGTATTGTGGTATTCTACATTTATATAAAACAAATCATGATATAACTCCGTAATATCTAAGTACTGTGTATCTTAATGTGCTCTTAAATATGTACTATGGAACACTCTGTTCTATTCTCAGTTAAATTTATTTGAATTGTACTAACAACTATGGTTCTTTTTTTTTTTTTTTTAATTTGGTACCGGGGATCAAAATCAGGTCCTTGCACTTGCGCAGCAGGCGGCGAAACCACTGAGCTAAATCGCCGGCCCAACTATGGTTCTTTTTAATAAATACTGTTCTTGAGTTAAACAGCGCAAAGAGGATCGCCAAAGTATTACCTGCTTAGGAATGATGAGTGCCTTTGCTTGGTACTGTACTAACTCTGATGAGCAGAGTATTACCTGGTTTGATGATTATGCTGAAGAAGAGCCATCCTGTCCCTGATCTCCACGTTCTCTTCAAGGCTTGATGCTTTCCAAGAAAAACTAAGTTATAACACAGTTCATAGGATATACTGTGACGTGTACATTTGCTCTGCAGGTGAGCTCAAGATTAGTCATATGCACTTTGAAGAAGCTTTTAAGAAAGTGAAACCATCTATATCAGTAAAGGTAAGAAACACTGCTCAGTTTCTAGAAGAAAAGGCATCGAAGTGATACCATTAGGTAGGAACTCAGGAATTGTGAAATTATGTCTTATTATTATTAATTATCATGTCTACTATGCCGTGTCTACTTTCTGAAATTTCATGTTACATTTTGACCTGAAAAAAAGCAAGATAGTGGCCTTTATGAATGTTGATAGAGTTCTCTGCTAGATAAAATGGCTCTGGCAGCCCTACCTTCTAAATGCCTCTTCCTGGCAGATAATAAATCACTCAAGGAAACAATAACCTAACTCTCCCGCCTCAAAGCTCTCTTGCTTACAATCCTTCCCACTGAGAAGTTCAAACTTGCCAGTGGATTTAAACATCACCTCTAGGGCTGAGGATTTAGCTCAGTGGTTCCAGCACCTGCCTTGGAAGTGCAAGGTCCAGAGTTCGATCCCCCGTACCAAAAAAAAAAAAAAAAAATCACCTTTGGCTGCAGGCAGACATCTACCTCCACTCCGTCCTGTGTCCGCTCCCCCCACCCCGCCCCGTGCCCCTTGCCCATATAAGAGGTCCCCTAGCCAGCCCCTGGCCTCCGCTCTCGCCATTGTTCGAGACAGCTCAGCACCCTATCCTCTAATAAAGGCCTCGTCTCAGGTGTTCGTGTTTTCGGCTCATTCTCATCCTCGCAAATGTGTTCTTGGGAGATTTTTATTTTGACTGGAAAACAATTCTTACTAGCTTCTCAGACCACAACTTAGGGCAACTGTGTGTGTTTCTACAATCTCATAACTCTTAATCCGTTTTGTTGAAGTATTATTTGAGTTACTATATCTTTTTTGACAAATTTTTCTTATCTTCTTGGAGCTTAAGCATACCCAAACTAAACTGTAACGTTCAAACTTACATTTTAGGAAAGTAAAAATATTTTCACATTAAGGTAGGAAAAGAATGAACAGTCACCCTGACTTCTCACCCAAAATGCCAAGTTTTACCTATTTCTTAACTCTGCTCAGGTGTTGTATTTGTGGTAAGTTTAAAGGGGTTGCTGTTAAGTGGGAATCAGGTTATTTGTGGCATTCCTGAAGACAGGCAGCAGGGAACACCCAGCCCTGAGAAATGCCTGAATTCGATATTGTTGTGGTAAATTTCATCCCTGGAGATTGTACTATTTCCAGAATATACCTTAGCCATTAGGACCTGTTCACAGACAGCATGGTAAGACTTCCCTTACATCGTGAGCCGTTTATTACCTCAGGTTCAGCAGTCATCATAACACAGGATTGAAAACTGAGCCAGAGTCCACAGCTGTTGGGTGGAAAGGCTCTGTGTGTCCTGAGAGTCCACTGTCCTGTCACTTTGACCTAAGGACCTAACCAGCCGGGGACCAGGGCGAGGGTGCTGTCTGCACACTCACGGCCTTTCTCGCTGCAGTAGAGTCACAGTGAGCCTCCCTGCACTCTGTCAGCACCCTTGGAGAAACAGCAGTCTGCCCTCGCCTCTCAGGCTTCTCAGCATACCAGAGAAGATGTTTGTATTTTACTGAACATCTTTGAATGACATGTAGTCAAGGGCCGGGGATTTAGCTCAGTGCCGCTGCCGCTGCCTGCTTCGCAAGGGCCTGAGTTCCATCCCTGGTACCCCCCGCAAAAAAAATGTAGTTTCACTATAAAATGTAGTCTCACTAAGTGAAATCAGAAAGAGTCTTGGAGTTAAATTTGTTTCCCTTGTCATCTGATCAAAAAGGGTCTGGTGGGCTGGGGATTTAGCTCAGTGGTTCTGCCGCCTGCCTCGAAAGCGCCAGGTCCTGAGCTGGATCCCTAGTACCAAAAAGAGGGGGTGCAGATCTGGTGCTAAAGTGTCCTCCCAAAGAAATACTATTTGAAACTGTTTCTTTTTCACTGGAATTATTTTTCTACCCCTACCTGAGTTTTGGGTTTTTACAAACCTTAGGACATTGGTGTAGCTCCACGTTTTCCTCCCATCCTCTGAGCTTACTTTTCACATTGAAGTTTAGCTTACAGATGACAGTGCAAAAGCTTGCATGTACCATTCCTTGAGCTGTGACCAGGGTCACCAGCACTGCATTTGAGGTCAGAGTGTTTCCATCACTGCAGAAATGTGTGTCCTTCGTAGTGAGCTTCTTACCAAATCTCACTTCATGGAATCACTGATCTGATTTCCATGATCGTACCTTTAATTTAGCTTACTGTAGAGCATTCGGTACATGGAATGACAGGGTTTACGCTGGTTTGTGTCTGGCTTCTCTTGCTCAGGTAGTGTCCTTGAGATTCATCTCTGTGGCTTGTTTAGTAGTTTTGTCTTGTTGAACAGTATGCCATTGTCCACGTAAACTGTGGGTTTCTTATCTTTTCACCAGTGGACAATTAGATTGTTTCTAGAGTTTTATGAATAAAACTTTCAGGGTATTTCACACAAACGGGCACATATTTGTAAAATCATATATCTTTATTTCTCCCAAGTAAGTATTGTTATAAAAAATCCACTTGTCAACAAAAGACAGGCTCTCCATTGTGAGAAAAAGAAAAGTTTATTCTATTGAACAGAGACTAGAAATCAGGAATTTTTAGCAGCTAACTGAGAAAAGAGTTTTTATCACATCCACGTGTGGATGGACTGACAGTGGGAGAGAGTTAGTGGCAGCTGGCTGGGAGAGATTTTATCCCTGAGAGGATGGGCTAACACCAGGGGAGAGAGATACTAGCAAGTAACTGGGAAAGGAATTAGGCTTGTATGGGTATTGAAGGGGTTAAGGAATCTGGGATGATATATTTATGGGGTGACAGCTGCCCAAGGATGGCCTGGATAGATACGTATACAGTCACTGGACTTTCTGGCTTCAGGGGTTTGTATGTAAGCCATATTTTTTAGTCCACGTGCCTCACTTACTGGGAAGCTGCTGGTATTTGTTAAAAGCAGCCTGTTTGTTTTTCCCTGTTGATTGAGGGTAGGCCTGACAAGTATCAAGGTAATTGCTGGGTTGTAAAGTACGTGTGTATTTCACTCTGTGGGAACCCTGTAACCTCCTTCCAAAGGGGCTGGTCCATTTGTATCTTAGGAGAGCTCCAGTTGCTCTACTTTGTCAACAATACTTGCATGTATTGTATGCCTTTAGTTTAATATTTTCCTGCATGTGAAATAGTATTTAGTGTATCACTGTAGTTTAAATCTGCATTTTTCCAATGACTAATATGTGGAGCATATTTCTGTTTATTGGTTATATGTGTATCTTATTTTTCACCATCATTTGCTCCCCCCCCAGTGTCAAGGATCGAACTCAGGACCTTGCACTTAGCAAGACAGCCACAGCACCACTGAGCTAAATCCCCGTCCATCATCATTTGCTCTTTATAAAATTTTGAACTATTTCTTCATAATTGAGTTACAGTAAAATTTTATAATTAAACCTGGATTGAAATTTTTATCAGTAATACATATGAGGATATTTTCTCCAAATATATGGTGTGTCATAATATATTTTAAAAAGAATCTTTTGGAGAACAGTAGGTTTTCATTTAGATCATTTTCTTTCCTATGGTTACACAAGTTTGCAAATTTTTTTTTTTAACAATAGTTTTTTAACTTTCTTGTTTGGTTCTATTTTCCATTTCAAATACAGTATCTGTGGAATCTTGTGTCCAGGATCCCAAGATTGTATCAGAGTCTTCCAGTGCTCAGTTTTGTCATGTAAAATGCATTGCATTTACACATAATGTCTACCCATCCTTTTGTGTATTTTAAATCAACTCTAGATAGGTATCATACCCAATACAATGTAAATGCTTACATGCTAGTAATTATTATAGCCTTGTTGTGGTGTTATGGTATTAGGAAATAATGGGGAAAATACACCCTACACATGGATAATACAGAAACAGTTTTTCTCCAAAATATTCTTACTCTGCATTTGGTTGAATCTGCAGATGAAGAATTGGAGAAAGAGAAGGGGCAACTGTAATTTTTTATATTAGTGATGTAGGCTAGGTCATAGTTAACCTTTATCCATGTGGCTCTCCTGGTGTTTGTTGAAGCAACTTTCTGTCCTCAATGAACTACCATATTATTTTTGAAAATGTATTGGCCATATATTCATGATTCTGTTTCTACATTTTTTATTCTTTGGAACTTTTTTTGTTTTTGGTACCAGGGATCGAACTCATATCCTTGCACTTGTGCAGCAGGCGGCGAAACCACTGAGCTAAATCCCCAGCCCATACATTCTTTATCCTTTTCTTTGACTTGTACAGATATCTTTATATCGCTATATCTTTTATCCAGTGTCTTGATTATTCCAGATTTGTAATAAGTCTGGATATTTGGTAGTGTAAGTGCTCCAAATTTGCCCCCCACCCCTGGTCTGTTAAGCCCTTTGTATTTCCATAGAATATTTATCGGTTTCTGGGTGGTTTTTTTGTTTTTTTGGTACCAGGGATCAAACTTGGGACCTTGCACCCATGAGGCAGATAGCAGAACCACTGAGCTAAATCCCCGGCCCAGTCAGTTTCTGTTTTTAAAAGCCGTCTGGAATCCAGGAGTGGTGCCTTATACCTTAATCCCAGCACTATACAGTGCCAAGTTGGGTAACTTAGGACCTAGTGAGACCCTGAGTCTTAAAATAAAAATAATAAAAAGGGCTCAGGATGTAGTTCAGTGTGAAGGCTCTGAGTTCAGTCCCCTGTGTATGTGGGTGGGGGTGCAGGCCCCTGCTGTGATTTTGAAAAGGATTGCATTGAATCTGCAGATTAGTTGGGAAAACAAGAACATCCCTTGGAAGGCTACATGTATATCCTAGTAATGTGATATCCTGGTTCTGTTGCATTCCTTTGAATATCTGGAAACTGCCTTAATGAATAAGAAAGTACTCCTTCTCTTTGGGATTAAAGGCATAGTACGAATTTTGAATCAGTAATATGAAGCAAATAGATACCCAGACTGATTTTTACTGTATTTAATCTTTATAAAAATAAGGAGTAATTTTAAGGCCCAGGGACTTTTTCCTGGTTTGGCAAATCAGTGAGTCTTCAAGGCCCTTCTGGAAGCCATAATGTGGCTGCTTATGGGAGGGAGAGGGAGGACAGCCTGATCTTGCTAAACCATGAATCATGGGAATGCAGTGTCTCAAAAAATTAAATTTGGGGGGGGAGGGGATACCGGGAATCGAACTCGGGTCCTTGTGCTTGTGCAGCAGGCGGCAAAACCACTGAGCTAAATCCCCAGCCCTCAAAAAATTAAATATTAAAAAAACCATAATTTAGGGCCAGGGATTTAGCTCAGTGGTTCCAGCACCTGCCTCACAAGCACAAGGTCCCAAGTTCAATCCCTAGTACCAGAAAATAAAAAATTAAAAATCATAATTTAAAAGGTATAGAAGACCAGGATAGTAAGAAATTTTTTTTAAGTAAGTCTTCATTCTAACAAGACCTGTGCAGAACTAATGTATGCACAGGAGGGAATCTTGGACTAAAACCCCTAATTATTCATTTTCAGCTAACTTATATTTTCTAATATTTCTATAATAAACATCTTGTTATAAGAAAATTATGTATAAAAGTAGATTTTATTTCATCTGGTTCTAAAGGAAACATGCTTACATCATTATGGTGTCTTTAGCAGTGGTGTTGAGAAACAGAAGCCCTGTTATCCTGTGTCAGGTTTAGTTAATTCAGTATTCTTATAATAACTCTCTTATGGGCACTTTTGGAACTATTTGAAAGGTGTTTGAAAAGTTTTAAGTTTAACTCTTCCAGGACTGGTTTTCTATACACTTTACCAGGGTAGGAACAGATAGGCACATTCACACACAGCTGGGGGAAGGTGGGTGTCCATCAGCCCAGCCATTTTGGGTGGCAGAATATCTGCCAAAATTACAATTGCACCAAAAGCTGAGACTCACCACCTTCTTTTTATGAACTTAGAGCTATACACATCCATGAGAAGTTAAAATTTCACTGGAACATTGTATATAGTAACACCTAAGATTGAAATTCCAAATATTTATATAGTAAATTATGATACGTAACTGTACTACAAAGTGAAGGACCTCTCCCAAGGATATTGTTACGTAAAAGGTTAGGAAATATGTCTGTGATATTCTACCATCTATGTAAAAAATAATTATAGCAGTTTTACATAACCAGAAGGAAAATCTAGAAAGACACATTAGTCATGTGGTGGAAAGGAAGAGTGAGTGAGTGTTACCTCATCTCCATTTATAAAAGAACTGGAGGAGGAGATAATTGTGGAGATGCCTGCGACCCTACAGTGACAGCATACTTAAGCTAGATAATAGTCATTCAGGAAGAATCCTCTCCCAGAGCTGAGGTTACAAATTCCAAGTTAGCTATCAACACATAAAATCACTTAACAAAACCTAGAAATACTGAATGTTTAGTAAGAACCAGTTTTTAAAGGTTTCTTACTGAGAGGCCTCCCACCACAGAGGGGTGGAGGTGTGATTAAAACTGCGTCCACTACCAGGGGAAGGGGTGGTTCGGTCTAGGAAAGGTGGGGAGGGGCAGGGCCTTTTACAACTAATCTTCCCTTCGCTGGTCTCCGACCAAAATCAGAACACATCAGCAACCTTTAACCACAATGTCTGTCTTACTGATAACTCCAGATTCTGTATAGAAACCACAAACAAAATTTCCAAAGGAAACCAGTCATTTTCTTCTGTACAGGCATGGGACTCTTCTGAAATTAAGCAAGTGTTTCCATAGGAGACAAATTGCCAGGAAGCAGCATCCTCACATCTGGTATCACATCACATCCTCCAATGACAGACAGCATTTCTCCTTTGATTCCTACCTTCTTCCTGTACCTTAATCTAGTATCAAACTTTCTTTACCCTATAACTCTCTTTAAATACCTCTAACAGTTTTCTTGCTGTTTTAGTTACTTTTCTTATCACTGGGACAATATACTTGACACCTGAAAGGAGATGTTTATTTTGGCTCATGTTTTAGAAGTTTTGGTCCACGTTCGGCAAGCTCAAACATAGAAATCTTATAGTAGAAGGATTCAGGTGGAGAAGAACTGCTCATGTGTGGTAGCCAGGAAGCAGAGCGCTAAAGCGTAGCTGGGAAGGATGATACACTGTTCAGGTCACACCCCCAGTGAACTGCCTTTCCCAACCGGGTCCTACCTTCTAACTGCAAGTAAGCTATAGTGCCCGTACGGTCCAGTCCTCTTCCAAAAGCTTCACCTGTCCGCACATGAGGCTTTTTGGAGACACCTACCTATAAACCATAACATTCTGCCCCTGGCCCCAAAACACCTATGTGGATCTCTTTATTCATATGCATTTAGTCTATCTTTAAGAATCACCAAAATCTTAGTTTGGCCGTTGCTGAAAAGTTCAGGTCCAAAAACCCCTCTGAAACTCAAGGCAAACTCTTAGTGACTCCCTGTAAAAATGAAAAGAAAATTAAACATTTCAATAAAATGGAAAAGGATGAACGTTCCCATACCACAAGGAAGGAATGAGACCAAAGCAATACCAGAACCCAGCAGGGCAAACATTAAATACTCTAGCTCTGTTCAGCAACCAGGGCAAGTTGTGAGACGTGAGGCTTGGGTTCTTTGGGGCTGCCTCCCCTTACTGCCTTTGGCCCTCCTCAGTAGACCTTCCATGGTGCCGGCTTCTCCAGCTTCCAGGGGTCTCCACTGCACTTTGAGCTTTAACTCACAGCTTTGCTCACTGCCTTCCCAGGCACACCTCTTGAAAAATCTGGGTGGAGGCCTCCCCAACCTGACAACAGCAGATCCCTCAGCCAGGGCACCTTAACAAAGTACCATGGACTGGGGACTTAACAGGAGTTTTATTTCCTCACTGGTCTGGAAACCTGCCCTGGACCAAAGTATAAGAACTGGTTTTTCCCAGGCCTCTCATCTCACAGAGGGGGTTCTTTTTGTGTCTTCGCATGGTCTTTCGTCTGCATATCTGTGTTCTAACTACCTCTTCTCATTGGGAGACTGGTTTTTATGGTTAGGGCCCAACCACCGACCTTACCCAACCTAATCAACTCCATAAAGGCCTTATCTGCAAATACAGCCACATTTTGATGTCCTGGGGTTAAGACTTCAGCGTATGAACTTGTGGGCCACCATTCTGTTCAGAGCCCTTGCTTAGCTCTTGTGTTCTGCCTTCCCTCCCCAAGGATCAAAAAATGTATGAAGCTCTTCAGCGATCCCTCAGCCAGTGACATCTCCCGCAGCCAGCGTGGTGAATCCAGCACATCGAGCCAATCAGTCCAGGTGCTCTGAGATGCCTGCCCTCAGCTCAACATAGATGTCTCATGGAAGCATTTTATTTTCAAATTAATAGGGACAAGCTGAAGCTGAAGATTCTTCAATCTGGCAGACTTTCTGGGAAAACTCCCCACATCTTTTTTTTTTCTTTTTTGTACCAAGGCTTGAATTCAGGACCTTGCGCTTGCGAGGCAGGCAGCGGAACCACTGAGCTAAATCCCCAGCCCCAACTCACCACACCTTTAAGAAAAATAAATTTCTAACTGGTGAAATAAAACTTTACTCAAAATTTTTAATTTGATACAACTCCCCCCCTTGGAACCTCTGTAAGTAGCTAGTCTTATGTCCATTACCCTAAATACTTTCATGTAGAATTCCTGCCCACCACGATATTCTTCTCCGTAACCTACCATCAGAGTCAGGAAATTAGTACTGATACATTGCTGTTGGGTCCTAATCCATAGGACCCACTCAGGCTTCTCCAGCTGTCCCAATAATACCTTCAGCAAAAGGACCCAGTTTAGAACCAGCGATTCTAGTGAGTTGCGGAGGCTGGAGTTCCTGACAGAAGTCTCATTCCTCTGGCTTGACTCAGTACTTTTGAAGGCCCTGCTTATTACTTTCAGAAGGCTTCAGTGTGCATTTCTATGATGTGTCCTCACAACTGATTCACATGCATATTCATTAGGGTTGTCATGAAGCAATGCCTTGTGCTTCTCTGCATCCTCTAATATTAAAGTACAAATAATGATCATTTTTCTAAAATCCTTTGATACAATTTTAGCTACTTCAGTGGATTGTAGTTTGAACATACTCTTAGATTCTGACCTATTCAAATGCTTTGCGATTTACTGTTACAGGGAGACTTATCAGACTACTTGGGAAGCAACTAAGACTTAAGCTATGACCACCCAGTTATCCCAGCATAAATGGGCATTTATTCTATGGTGGGTTTCTACTCTTGGTTCTCATTTGGTTATTTTTCTGCCTACTCTGAGTCAGTCTCTGGTGCCTCACATAATATCCTTGCTCTATCAAAATTGGAACATGGTTTATAAAGTCTCCATGGGCCCGGGGATTTATCTCAGTGGCACCATGCCTGCCTTGCAAGTGTAAGGTCCTGAGTTTGATCCCTGGTACCAAATAAAGTCTCCTTGCTGCTTGCCTCGATAAACTTTGTTACCTATGATTATTAGTCTCCAAACTATCAGTCCCAAACCATTTCCTCACCTCCATCTACTCAAAAAGATTAACACTCTTAAAGTCTAATAAGTCCCTAGTATAAGACTGCTTGCTGGCTGTGCCCACTTGTCTCCTAATGACTACCGAGGCATATCCTGCAGAGACATTCATTCATTCATTCATTCATTCATTCATTCATTTATTTATTTATTTATTGGTACCAGGGATCAAACTCGGGTCCTTGCACTTGTGCAGCAGGCGCAAACCACTGAGCTAAATCCCCAGCCCAGAGCCTTTTGGTTGGACAATTCATACAGCATCTTTACACTGTCATTGATGGAACCTTTGCTGCTCGACCCCTATTACTCCTAACAGTTCTCTTATACAAATACAGCCAAATTTAAACCACTTATGATAACTTTTTGGGCCAGTATTTTCAGACTTCTTTGTCACCGGAGCTCCAGTGTGCATGCAGGCCATAGATAACCCTCAATACTGTCAAACCTATGGGCAGTGTCACTCCCTGTAACTTTACCTGTATCTTAGACTGCAAGTCTAGAGGCTGAATTCTCCAACACAGTGGTTCCTCAAAATCAATCTCAATCTGCCTTCAACAGACCTGCTGAACACAATAAAAATTCTGGCTTCTGATGTCGAGAAAGACCATCCTCTTAAGTCTCAGCCCCTGGATAACCACTGTTAGCTATACTCTTAACTGCTTATAGGCAATACATCACTTTGTCAGTCACAGACACTTGTTTTTTCTTTACTCACAGAGGTAGTACTTTGAAGAAAACAAGGCCCAAGGCATGTGTCAGCCACAACTTTACTCTTTTCACCCATTAACAGGAATGACATTTGCTCTTTGATACTTCTTCAGAGCAACCCCCAGTACTTTCATAACTGATACACATCAACTTTTCTATCTTGATCTTGCTACTTACTGCCCTGAGTGTGTTCTTTGCAGGAATCAAGTCTTCCTGTGCTTTCCTCCCAACTGGACAAGTGGTTTGGTTTTGTTTTCTGGACAGGTGTTTGTACCATAGCTTTTCTAGCCCCTGATACGTTGTTCCTAACAACCAGCCTTTCCCTTCCCTTTCTACCTTCATTTGACCAAAAATCAATGATTACTCTAATTCCTGTAGGAATTGCCACAGGGATAAGAACAGGAGCTACAGGACTACACTTTGACCACCTCTGCCTCATGCTTGCTGAAGACCTTATCCTAGTCTCTGCTGCCTTAAAGGTCTTACAAGATCAAATAGATTCCCTAGCTGTGGTGTCCCTTAAAAGTCACAGAGGTTTAGATAACACTAACTAAAGCATGGGGAAGTCTCTGCCTGGCTTTGGAAGAATAATACTATTAGTATATCTACCAGTCAAATGTTGTACAAGCTGTAAATACCCTCAAAGATGAGGCATCCCACTTAAGTGAATAAGGGCTAACCAGTTGCCTCTCTTAAAGGCATCCTTGGGGATGGCTTTCCTGGCTGTCTCTCTTGGCAAGCAGGGAATTCGGCCATAATCAACTACTGAAGACCCCAAGTATGCCCCTTCCAACTCAGCCCTGAAAGAGGTGGCTCAGCCTTTCCACCTTCTAGCCACCAGCTCACCCAGACTCCATGGAAGATCATTAAATCCTATACAAGAAATTAATCTGTAGGTAGGAATGAAGACTGCTCTCGGAGGCAGCTTCAGAAGAAGAGATCATCAGGCCCTCAATATCCCATAAAGATTTAGGGGATTGGGCCGGGGATTTAGCTCAGTGGTTCTGCCGCCTGCCTCACAAGCTCAAGGACCCGAGTTCGATCCCCAGTACCAAAAAAAAAAAACACCACCCAGTGAAGGGACCCAGCCAAGCTGCTCATTGGCAGGAGTCATAGCTCAAAGTAAATACTCAGTCCCGCCCCATACCCTCAGGTTTAAAGTCCTTGGTATCAAGCTTCCTAAGGCCATGAGCTTTTCTCACTGGCCCGCTTCCACCTTGTGGACTGTACATTTTTTCTTCCAAATCTTTGATCTTGCAGCCACTTCTGGGTGTCATGCTCAATTCTTTGCTTAGGACAGTGGTGGCAAACCTGTGACACAAGTGCTGCAATGGGCTGTTTATCATTGAAAAGTTCTAAAAGGTTCTCCATCACTGGCTTAGGACATCAGGAATCTGTACAAGACCTCCAATCCTATGACATCCCGATTCACCCTTGCTCCCACCTCGTGAGGGGAAACTAGGGTTGCTTCTGCTAACACAGACCCGTCATTCTCAGCTAAACATCCCTCAGTGTGCTGAGTTCCATCAGTCTAATTGCACACAGACTTATAATCTGACATCATCACCCTTTGGCATCTGCCTTTCCTCTTTTTTTTTTTTTTTTTTTTT